ACCTTCCAGAAGGGACCCACCCCTGCCGGCTGCCCATCATACGTCCTTGACCAATGGGCGTGCGGCCGCTCTACAAGCCCCAATGACTAACCCGGCTCTACCTCTCGGCCTCGCCCCCTCCCGCCCCATCCCGCTCCTCCTCGCGATGACGCACTCACCGCAGCGTTCTGGAACTTTCATTCTCGCCCCCGCTTCCCGGACGGCCAGAGACAGGGAGGGAGGGTGGGGCCCAGATAGCCCGCGCGCGGGAGTCCTCAGTCACCTCAGGCCACCGGAGAGGGCGCGCCCGCCTCTGCGCATGCGCTCCCCAAAAGCGCGGGCGGGGCAGGACGGAAGGAGGAGGAATAGGGGCGGGCAAACTTGGAAACAGCCAATGACAGCAGCGGTAGCTGCGATCTGGATCCGTGCGGTATGGGAGGACGGATGCCGCCGAGCCTGAAGGGCGGGGTCCGGACCGGGAAGCCCGGGAGAGAAAACGGAAGTGGAATGAGGACAAAATGGCCGCGAAGGTTGTCGTGCCCCTCCCCCGACCAGGGTCCTTACTCGGTTCCCGTCAATCCTCCGGCGCTGTAGACGATCCTCTAGGCCCCTTTGCCCCGGTTTTCATATACCCACGCTACGCAGAGAGTGTATTTTGGGCTAGGGCTGCCCCTGGAGGGCGGGGCGAAGGTTTCGCACCCCCACCGTCCTGCCGGGCGCTGCTAATGCAACCGTCCGGGGACACCCAGATTTGGGACTGGAGGGAGCCGCTCGGCCGCCGCGGGGCGGGAGGGGAGAGCCAGGCAGGCTCCAGAGCCCGCCGTTCACTAGGGCAGCGGGCGATCGGCGGCCTCCGGCGCGGACGTTGGGCGAGTTCCGACGGTGTGTCCGGTCCCTTAGCGAAGTAAACGGCCGAACCCGCTTCCCTGAGCCCGGACTCCCCCGCCACTGCCCGCCTCGCGACGAGAACCCCTTGGCTTCTGGGCGCAGCTCCTCCACCCGCCCAGGCCCCGCATTTCTCACTTATCCGTATTAGAAAAGGTGGAGAATTTTTCCGTATAGGTAAAACCAGGCACTGGGAACCTAGGTTCCGATAGCCTCATGCCCTTGACTTAAGTTTTCTGAGTTTTATCTTCAGTAACATGAGGTAGTATCTTTTTTGTCTTGATTTTTCTCAAAAACTAAACAAGTGACCATGTAGAGAAGCTTTGAAAATCGGACCGATCGAGCGCACGAACAGCAGCACCTAGAATCTGAAATTGTGCTGCAAGGTGACAGGTATTTGAGGCCTTGTCATTCTGAGAGCCGTTTTCAGTACCTTTTCCCGTACGTTTTTGCAAACAGGCAGGATAGCTTAATATTACTATTCCATGGGCATATTTCTAGTAAAGTGGGCAGAAACGTGAAAAGAAAAGACTACCTGTCAACTTGCAGTGGTGGTTGGAATTAAAAAGGTCTCCGGACAGCGCCTCCAACAAGGTGGGCGGAAGCGTTGAGGACACCCTGTCCCTGTCAAGGCCAGTAAAGCCTAGAGACAGGTTTAAACGTATAGAGGAAGAATTTTCTTTCCGTATTTGTCTTTTGATAGGAAATGTCTTGAATCCATGGGGGCATGTACTTAATTTCTCCCATCTTCCAAGAAGTGAATTATATATGATGCTTTTATAACGTACAAAGTGCTTTCATTTGTTATCTCATGTAATGAAAACCAGTCTCAGAGCTACTTACTCGTCCATCCTAGTATTAGGAGAAAAATGAGGTTCAGAGGTGTTACTTGTGGAAAGATAATTAGCTGACTGTTTTATAGTTAACGCTGTAGTGTGATTTCCTTTCCAGAAACACGTAGCAGCTCCACTTACAGAAAGGGGAAGGAAGATGTGTATTATAGGAGGCTCCTTTCAATTTTTTTTTGGTAGCCGCAGCTTTTCTTTTCTCACCCAAAATATTAAGTACAATTTCTGAACAATTCCCAACATTTTGCAGCTTTTATAACTAACTTATGAACTATCTACATTTTAACCACTGAACCGGTGGAAAATAGAACAGAGGCCCAAATCCACTGGTTTTGGGTATTCCACCTAATAGCAGTGATTAAAGGAAGAACAGATAACCTCAGTTTCCGGTCACTCTGAAAATGCATTCTAGGACTTGAACTCTGCTCTTACGAATAGAATGATTCACAGTTTTACACAATGAAAGCCCAATATGATGAAAGTCCTGTCTCCACCTCTTTAATTATTTACACAGGGTTTCAGAGACATTGGGGATTTAAAATTAAAGTTTGGTTGCATGGGACTGCAGAGGAGAAATATGAAGCCTAGGATTCCTTAATGGGGAATGGGGTCATGATAAACATTTTTGAGTGCCTGTCACATGCCCAGCACATGTTACCCCATTTAATTCTGAGAATTTTTATTCAGATTTATTTGAATCTCTTAGTGTTCACTTCTTTTTTCAGATTTATCTGAACCCCTCAGCGTGTACTTTTCTTTTGGCATTTCACCTTGGCGTAAAATACTTACTTAGTAAATGTTGTTACTTTGATAAAGTCCTTAAGGGCAGGAACTCTATCATAATTTGGTATCTGCAGTACTGCTTAGCATACTGCCTTGTGAAAAAATAGTACTTGGTATATTTGTGACTGAAATCAAGATATAATAGATCATATTAAATCTGAGTTTTCCTGTTCTCCAGTTGGCAGCAAGCTAATACATTTCCAGTACAGGTTATATAAGCTTCAGCCTCTCCTACAATATCACGTTTACTTATTTATTTTTTAATTGCTGATACAGATGCATCTGTAATAAATATTTGGTTTTTGTGATCAAACAGTCCCAATAACAAGGCAATTTAAAAGTTAAAATTGAAATATAAACAGCTTAACATCAGAAATAAAGAAAAATTACATGTCTTTTTGCAATGGTAATTCTGAAACTTTTTACATAGTGTAACAACAAAGGCATCAAATTCATATTTCACACACTTAGGTCTGGTTTACGTCTTTTGTTGAAGTGGTTATTCTCTAACCGTCCATATCATCAGTGTCTTCTTCCTACAAACATTTTTCCTCCGACCGTTTAGTTATTTTATCCTTTCTGTTTCATATTAAAGAATTAAATTTATTTGACTTGCAAGTTAATGGAATGTGGTTTGAAACCAAAAGTGGCTCAAACTATTTTAAGCCCATTTCGTTTGAAATGAAAAACTCATATCTGGACCCAAAAGACTGACTCAAAGAGAAGTGCACTGTTGTTGCTAAAACTCCAGCACCTGTTCTCTCAGAATCTTCAATTCCTTAGGACTTCTCAGATTTTAGGTGAAAAATTTTTGTATATTTCCAGTGTGAATAGGTTCCCAAAATAATCTGGATATTCAGCTGGTGTTTTGGTCTTCTAATAACTAACAGGTTTAAATGATCTAAACCTCTGTTGCGTGTAAGGGACTGATCTCTTCTTTTGAAGGCTTAGGTGGGGAACCTTAGGTTCAGAGGGAGTAACTAGTGCTAAGAGCAGGTCGCTTGTGATGGTGTGGCTGCAGCCTCCCTGCTACACTTGTTTGGCTCGGGTACTCTAGAAATTACACTTCTCAGAATTACATAGCAGAAGTGACTTGTTAACTAGATACCACACTATCGGAAGAATAAGAAAAGTGGTGTTAAGTAAGAGTTGTATCGTACAATGAGGCAGTGCTAGTGTAAGAAACATTCCAAATATGCCAGCCCTCTTAAACTGATAGCAGACATTCTTTACTTCCTCTGTGTCTCTCATTTCCCTTTTTTTTTTAGAGGAAGACAAAATTCGGATTAAAACTTTCACCCAGGGATAAACCCCTATTTCTTAAAGGATTTTAGAAGGTAATACATTTGCACTGTATGAGGGTTCTAGTGTGAGGTTAAATGTAGAAATGAAAAACCAGGGAAATGAGGCAAAAATCCCAGATCAGTCTTTCCCCTTTAAGCATCTGATTCCCAATTTAGAAACTGCTTTCATCACCATATTCAGCATTACTTTTCCCTTTCCTTGTCCTGCTGTCCTTTTAATAACAAATATTTTGCTTTACAAATGGTGATCTGTTGACATTTGCAGTAGGATCCTTGAAGGGCGATTTCGGGTTTAGCATCCTTGCCATAGAATGATTTTGACCGGCAGATTAGTCAAAACTACTAAAAAGGCAAGTTACTGTAATTGGGAGTGGCTGCTTTTTATTCTCAGACACCTTTCTTCTATGAATCAGCTCTTCTGATAGCTATCCTGGTGAATCATCTCTACTAATTCCAAGATGCTGACAATTACAGTGTTAACAACAGTCACTAACCAACCCTCTCCTGTCATATACCACCTGTCCTCACCAACTCTTACCTGTTATTTCCCTTTCTTTCCAGCCCAGACCTAGACTTCTTAGAGGCTTAGCTGGAAAAATAACAAATTTCTCTCAGTCTCAACCTGTCAGGAGGAAATGATCATGACATACTTGCAGTGCCATTATAAAATGTTGGCAGTCTCTGATCTTTTTGATAACTTGAGGCCTAGAATCATCAAAAGTTCCAGGTTCACATCCTTCTCCTAAAATGAAGGAAATGGAAGAAGCTCCAAGTTTGGTGCCATCCTAAATTTTCTTACTCCACGCCTTGACATATTAAGAGAAAACTGGTCTAGTCTAGTCAATCTTGAAATTCTGGTTTCCTATGTTCTCAGAAAGAAGAGAATAGAACGAATGGTATGTCAGATGATTTTTCAGCGTCTTTTAAAGATCTGGTTTACTCTAGAAGATTTCTTTGTACAGACGTTGTTAAATGACATGTGGTACATGTTTTCCTGCTCCAGAGATCCAGCAGGGAAGGCCTTAAAGAGACATCTGATTTGAGGGAAAGCCCACAACTGTTCCAGTATATATATTTTATATTCATCAGTGACTCTCTGAACATCAAAACGATGGAAAGTTGTTTACAGTCCCTTGTTGCACATTTTGGACTCCTTTTTTAGTTCTATGGTTCAATGTAAGTAGGAAGATTAGTAGTAGACTAGAGGAAGACAAAATTCGGATTAAAACTTTCACCCAGGGATAAACCCCTATTTCTTAAAGGATTTTAGAAGGTAATACATTTGCACTGTATGAGGGTTCTAGTGTGAGGTTAAATGTAGAAATGAAAAACCAGGGAAATGAGGCAAAAATCCCAGATCAGTCTTTCCCCTTTAAGCATCTGATTCCCAATTTAGAAACTGCTTTCATCACCATATTCAGCATTACTTTTCCCTTTCCTTGTCCTGCTGTCCTTTTAATAACAAATATTTTGCTTTACAAATGGTGATCTGTTGACATTTGCAGTAGGATCCTTGAAGGGCGATTTCGGGTTTAGCATCCTTGCCATAGAATGATTTTGACCGGCAGATTAGTCAAAACTACTAAAAAGGCAAGTTACTGTAATTGGGAGTGGCTGCTTTTTATTCTCAGACACCTTTCTTCTATGAATCAGCTCTTCTGATAGCTATCCTGGTGAATCATCTCTACTAATTCCAAGATGCTGACAATTACAGTGTTAACAACAGTCACTAACCAACCCTCTCCTGTCATATACCACCTGTCCTCACCAACTCTTACCTGTTATTTCCCTTTCTTTCCAGCCCAGACCTAGACTTCTTAGAGGCTTAGCTGGAAAAATAACAAATTTCTCTCAGTCTCAACCTGTCAGGAGGAAATGATCATGACATACTTGCAGTGCCATTATAAAATGTTGGCAGTCTCTGATCTTTTTGATAACTTGAGGCCTAGAATCATCAAAAGTTCCAGGTTCACATCCTTCTCCTAAAATGAAGGAAATGGAAGAAGCTCCAAGTTTGGTGCCATCCTAAATTTTCTTACTCCACGCCTTGACATATTAAGAGAAAACTGGTCTAGTCTAGTCAATCTTGAAATTCTGGTTTCCTATGTTCTCAGAAAGAAGAGAATAGAACGAATGGTATGTCAGATGATTTTTCAGCGTCTTTTAAAGATCTGGTTTACTCTAGAAGATTTCTTTGTACAGACGTTGTTAAATGACATGTGGTACATGTTTTCCTGCTCCAGAGATCCAGCAGGGAAGGCCTTAAAGAGACATCTGATTTGAGGGAAAGCCCACAACTGTTCCAGTATATATATTTTATGTTCATCAGTGACTCTCTGAACATCAAAACGATGGAAAGTTGTTTACAGTCCCTTGTTGCACATTTTGGACTCCTTTTTTAGTTCTATGGTTCAATGTAAGTAGGAAGATTAGTAGTAGACAGAATGGGAGAAACTCAGTCATTCGTCTCCATCTCCCACTATTTCAAATACTCTTGAAGTTAATATCCAAATTTTGTGGTAAGCAAAATCAAGTCAGAATAGAAGAGACATGTCTCCTTTTTGAAGTTTCTTTGAAGCAGTAAGCCCCAGTACATGGTGCAGACAGGTGTGATATAAGGCTGTGGGTTCTGTTTGTGAACAATCACAATTATTCAGTAGGTTGAGAAATGCATAGAATATTTATGAACACCACCTTATTTCTTCTTGACAATGGCGAATCAAAGTATTGGTACAAAACATCTCAGGTGAGAGTGTGTTCATTTCCCCTTTCCCCAACCTTTTCTACCACAGGTCCTGGTCAGCAACACAGATTTGGATCTCTGGTCTGCAGACACAATGAAATGCCCTTTTGGAGATGATCAGCTTACAGCCTTTTCCTTGTTTGTTGTCATATAAGTGCTCATTTGAATCTGTTCCATGCAATGCTCACTGCTACTTAAAGGAACCTCTCATCTGGTTTGGGGGCTGTGTGGCTGGTGACTGAGTGCCAATGGCTAGAACAGTCCTAAATCCTGAGTCCTAGGAAAACATGGGGGTCAGTCCACTCTGATTCAGACAGTTCCTGAGGCTCTGCTGTATCTGGGGCTCAAGCTGGGTGGGGTTCTGCTTTGGTCAGGGAAGCATGGTGGTCTTTCTTTGGTTCAAAACCTCTGACCTCGGGCCCCACGAGGCTGTACGTGTGGGTGGCCAGCCCTGGCTGGGGGGCCGCCTCGGTGGACAGTGTCCGCTGGCTGCGGGAGGCACTGTTCGCTGTGGAGCGAGTGGAGGAGGAGCCAGAGCGGGAGCTCCGGGAGCCGGAGGAGGAGGAACTAGGTTTCACGAGGCGGGCTTTCGGGGCTTCAGCATCTTCCCTGGAGAGGAGAAAACATCAGTGTTAATACTGGCAGGACTGGTTGCTTCCTGATTTCCCAATAAGCGCCTCGGCGGTAAACCTCCAGTGATAACCACTGGGAGGCCGCCATTGAGGGAAATGGGACTCCCCTTTCCCTGAGACTTACTGCTTAGCTCAAATACATTTATGTCTGTCAGCCCAGAGGTCAGCCACGGGGAAGGTCTAGACTGCACTCCCTTGACTGGGGGTTTGTCTACGTCTACTTCCAAGGCACAGAAGCTAGGCCCGTTCTTCAGCATATTCCCTGTATAAATAGAGGTGAATCGGAGGTCGTGTAAAGTTGATCTTTTAAGTGTCTGCTGAGGATGATTTCACAGTAAAGTCAAGGTAAACCAGACCTTCTGTCTCTGGGCTGGAACTCTATACCTAACAGAATAAACCTAACAAATTCATGGTTAGGAAGAAACAGGATATTTTTGTTGGCCGGTCACGTGCAGCTAGCCCCAGAAAGGAAGCCTAGTAGAAGAGCGGATTTCGGATGAGGGTTACCGAATTTCATTGGGTCTCTCCTCCTCATATCTCCCTTTGTCTTTCCTTCGGATCAGCAGCCACACCAAGAGGAAGATCAGCAGGGCTCCAGCCACCATGCCTGTCACTGCTCCTGCGACCATGCCAATGCTTTGGGCATCTGTTTTCTCAGAAGCAAAAGCAGAAGTAAAACCAATCATCAGCTAGGAAATCATGAATTTATAAGCTCAGGACAGGATGAATTTTTCCAGATTTTTATCTTCCTGAGTTCCCCGTTTACCTTCTCTTGCTGTTATGACTCCCTCTAGATATTGAAGGATAAGGATAGGGAATAGGTCACCCCAAAGTATGCCTCTTTGACATTAGGATTATTTTAGAGAAAACAGACGCAGAAGAAGCTCCGAAGAGCAGAAGTTACCCTTTTGTAAGGGAAATCTACATTTATAAAGGAAATCTCCATTTGGTCCCCTTCTGGATATACATTTTTTTAGGGGGTTGGTAAATCCACACGTTAGTAAATACAAAGTTAGCTACAACTGGGGGATGGTTCTTGGGACTACTGTATTTATTTTAGTGATAGCCATGTCCTTCTGGAAATGAAGATTGTGACTTTGACCTCATTCTTTCTTGTGAATAAAAATGTTTCACACTGACCCACAATGCAAAAACAAAGACGAGCCTTTCGAGCCTTTTGGATACCTACACCGTACAGTCACGCGCACCACACAGCTTTCCTTCCCAGCCTCGTTGCCTGCTGTGCACTGGTAGAGTCCAGAGGAGGACATGGTGAGATTCTGCAGCAGAACACGCCCAGGGTTGTTGTAGTCTACACAATACAGGAAGAATGACTGTAAATTGCCTTGGTGACATGGTCTGTATTTTTTGTTTACTTCATTGCATCACTGACCTCAGATTCTCTAATAAAGTTTGGTAGGAATGAGAGAATAGAGAGAGAATAGATCCCTGTTTGGAATGTGGGAAGAAAAGGGAACATTCTTTTAAATTGTAGTGTATCCTCAAATGTTACAAAAGATTGTGAATAGTTAGGGGATACTAAACACAATAATTAGATACAATGGGCTTATATAGTACATTTCTTCCTAATCTCTTCTACCACTTTCCCGTCACATTTGAGGAAAGAAAAAACAGATTTTTCTGTCCCAGTTTATGGATGAAAAATGGAAGTGCAGAAAGGTTCAGCAGTGTATTCAGGGTCATGGTGAGTTGCTGGCCAAACCAGGTTTGGAATTCATTGAAAGAGTACGGTCCTGTCGTCTCCATAGACGGTAGAGAGATGCCTTACCAATCCTAGATTTGGGAGGCAGATGTTCATCCTCTCCTTCCTTCTCCCGGATTCGCTGCCAGTAATACACAATGGGCTTTGTGCCCGAGGATGACTCACACTGCAGAGTCAGGTCGCTTCCTTCCGTCAGCTCTCCTTCCAGCTCACACTTGGGCTTTGATGGTCTCACTGGCAGAAAAAAAGAAAGAAATCCAAAGATTCTCAGTTACCAGATTCAGTGGAAGAACTTGAGTCCTGTTCTTTTCAGCAGCCATTCCTTATGTACACCTTTTGCATGGGGATTCAACAGCCTTTTGCTACCTGGTCACGCTTTCTACCACCCCCAGAAATACAGCCACCTCCATCCCCTGCACACACACACATCCAGGTCTAGCTCCTTCCACTAGTGCTGTTGTAATTTTCACTGGCTCCCTCAGGAACTCCCACATCACTTTTCAAGGAGAAACTTACGTAATTGGAAATTGCAGGGAAGTTGAGTGTGATTTTACTAACACTGAGATGGACAGAACTTAACTAACTTGGAAGCAGTTAAACAGAACTTAGTACCTCTTTCTGTCTAAAAACAAATAGATTTGAATCATATCTGAGAGATTTAAATATAAGGATATCATTTAAATATTAGAGGATATTTAAATTTTATATTGGGCTACCATGGGGAATTGTGATAGTTTTTTCTTTCACTATGGCTAAAATACTGAACATACACACTTCTTTCCAGGGAACTGGACTAGGTGACCTCTGAATATATAGTAAAAAATACTGAACAAGAAGTTTTGTGCCACTATGATGCACTGGCTATCCCTTGCAGAAGACTTAAGATGTAGACATTTACCTTGGCACCCTATCTTACCTAAGACTTTTAAGATGACGTGGCTCCACACATAGCGCCCTGAATTCTTCACTTTGCAGGTATACCGGCCCTCATCACTGGGCTTCAGAGGCTCAATCTGCAGGGAAGCATCTCCTGCCAGGAAGTTGGAAGCAAAGGCCACTCGGCCCTTCTGTTCCTCAGTCAAGTTATTGTAGACGTGACGGCTGGAGTATGTGATCACCTGCAGGGCAGACCAAGGAAGGGTCAAGCAATGTGGCTTTCTGCCTCCCTTCCTGCTGATGTCAAGATGAGGAAAGGGGACACTGCTAATGGAGCAAAGTAGTCAAGTCTGGGCTGATTCTAAGGGTCCAAAAGACCCCTATTCTAGAGTTACAAAATACATTGTTTGTCTAGGCTTTCCTTCTTGTAAGAATAGTGACACCTCATATTTGTGTAACATTTTAATATAAAGTAGTCATTGTTTCATTAAGTGCTCAGAACCATGTCATTTTTAAAGGGATTTTAAATTTGAGTTACACGCTCAAGGTCACAAGCTAATTCAAGAAGGAAATGTACGATCATTTGGAATCAAGAGTTGGCTCTAAGGAGAATTGAGAAAACAGGATTAGGATGGGAGAGACTTACCTGTCCCCCATATACCCTTTCTAACTTTTGATTTTCCACCTCTTGCATGTGATATATTCAAAGTACACTAAACTTGTGCCAACTGCTTTTACATGTATTTCTCCTAATTTTTCCAAATAGTCATCCCCATTTCATAGCAGAACTTGCATTTGAACACATCCATCTAAAGCCATCTAGCCCACTGTTCGGCTATACTGCGGTATCTCCTGCTTCCTTTTCCTACCGCCACTCATTTCATTCCTCTTTAAGAGTTTGGAAATGAAGGACAAAAAGTGGAACTAAGAAATGGATTTGTTTTGTTCTTACAAAAGGTTAGCGTCCAGTGGAAGGGATTAGAAGAACTGAGGAAAAGAAGTTAATGGTTAAAATGCAGGTCTGATACGGAGCCAGGCTTCATCATTCAGCTTTCCTATTTTTTTGGCTTCACTGAGGATTAATAAAATGTGAGAAAGAATTGTGTGCTTTCCTTTCATAAACTACACATGAGCTTCATGCCTTTGTTTTCCCAGATAGGGAGACCAGAGTTTAGATTTCCCCAACAGGACCAAAAAAAAAAAAAAAAATCACAACCTCTGGTTTTTGAACCCTTTCTGCTTGCCTTAGCCCATCACCTCACACGTATTAGTCACAGAAAGCATGCTGACCTAGTCCCCCAAGATGGCCAGCTGTATTTGTCCTGCCACTCAGCAGTCATGTTCTTAAACTCATTTGAATTAACTGTCAGCAAACATTGATGGAATGTTTGACTGCCTCCCATCAGATAAGGAGGAGGCTCAGCAGATGAGTAAAACCCTCTTCTTGTCTTCTACTAATCTATAATCTAATGGGATTAGCAAGGAAAGAAATATGAACATACAATAAGGAATGATTAACTTGAAATACTACTAGAAGGAATGTCCCAGAAAAGTTGATGGCATTTGAGTTAGGCTTTGAAAGATGAGCTGACCAAGAGACGATAGAGGCAGGGTGGAGAGGGCTGCAGACATGTTCCAAATACACAGAACAGCACTAAAAAAAGGTACACAAGCAAATGGGAGTCTCCCGAGCTCATTTCTGGCAGCAGCTGTTCCAAATGGCTTCACTCTACTCACACCCTTGACCCCCATAATGCTGTGTAACTCACCAAATGCTTTCCTGAAAAGATCTGAAGCCATCCTATAATATGTCCATCAAGTCTTTCTCCATTTTATCAGAACATGTCAGTATCATCCATTTTCCCTCACCATCTCTCTGAAAAAAAGTCTTTTCTCCTATCTATCTATATTCTTTTTCTTCAAATATTCTCTGTCTATATTTATGGACCTCATATTCCTGGTACTGTCATGGGCACTGGAAAGCAAGCAGGAATAAGACACAGTTCCTACCCTGAGGACCTCACAGTCCTGTGGGGGAAAGAACTGGGGGAGAAGCAAGTAAGAGAAAATAAACACTCAAACTGGTAATAAGCTTAAAACATTTTCAGTATTTTTGCCCCCTCATTTCAACCAACAACACTATTGTTGTAATTCTCATATCCTTATCTTTATCCTAACATATTTTGGGATCCAGTTGCATATATCCAGCTGCCTGTCCACTCTACATGTGTCTTCTCCAATCTATTCTACATAATAATGTAAGTTAATGTTGCTGGGGACTTGGACATGCCATCCCCAAATGTGCCATTTTGCATATGCCTAAGAATTAACTTCAGCTGAAGGCATTTGAGTTTCTGGAATCCCTTATCTGCCTAAAAGCAGAGCCACCCAAAAGAACTTGGGTCATAAACCCCATCTGCCAAGCAATTCTAATTGTCCTTCTGGGACACCAGAAGTCAGCACCACACCTAGGCAGACAGACATCGTCACAGACTAGCATATCTCCCATCTGTTCTCCTAGGGGCCCATTTTTCCTTCCCAAAAGTCATCTGCTTTTCTGTAAGTGCCCCTTCTCCCCCTCCCTTTTCCCTGCTAAGTTAGGCTTATGGAGCCCAAATCCTAACTACCCTTTGAGTTACTCATCCTGGGTACTCCCATGTGTTCTATACACGGTGCACAGAAGTTAATACACATCTCTTGTTTTTCTCTTGTCAATCTCCCTCTTTGTTGTGTACCCAAAACCAATGTTACATGTCAACTATATCTCAATAAAAATGTAAAATAAGTTTTAAAAAGAGGAAACAAAAAACTGCCTTTTCTCAGTGTAATTTGGAGTTCTCCAGTGGGAGAACCTAGGCAGGTGGAGGGAAAAAATTTTTTTTCCCTTTCCTAGAGTTCCTACAAAGGCAACTTAAAAAAAAAAAAAAAGGTAAAATCATGATTGTCATCTACATAGAATATAAACATTCATCAGATTTTATTTAACTCATTAATGATGGAACCAGGAAGATGATATAAAAGAATTGGACTAAAAGATTTATATTCTTTGTTCAAGATTCCTTGGCATCTCTATGAACGGAGCCATCTGCATCGCTAGGGACAGGAAACATGGGCATCACCATCAGCATCCCACAGGTTAATTTCTGTTTCTGCAGAGATTAATACAGGAGGAAAATTAGATCCTAGTTCATCTCCAGAAAACTTGTAAGCATGAAGATGATGTCAGGAGGCACCTACCTGTGGCACGGTCGGGGGTGGGGGCGGCGTGGGGAGAGGCCAGTTTTCAGGCTGCTTAGGGAGAGAGCCTCTATTGGTGGGTTGAGGGAGTTCCATCCCTTGAAGCTGCTCCCTGGCGCCCTCTCCCCTACTGCCGCCTCTCTTAGCAGGTGACCGGTCTCCTGGTTGAACTCAGAGTCTCTGAGTTAGAGCATCTGAAGGGCTGCAGGGAAGAGCACTGGGGAGAGAGTTCCTTCTGACTGGTATGAGGGGTGGAGGGGGAACGGGAAGCTTCACCGGGACATCACCTTAGGCTGCTCCCGCAGGCCGAAATGAACTCCTCAAAGATGTTCAGCAAATCGGTAAGCATGACCAATCAGAGAATGTTTAGGAGACAGAAGAGAGCAGCCAGAAAAGGAATTGCCATCCAGAGGTGAGGCTGGAAATGTGAGCAAAGCTTGGACTTCAGTGTTGAGCTGAAGAGATCCAAGACAACAGTCATTTATTCAACAAAATCTGAGCCTCCACAGTGTGCCAGCACCTGTGGCAGGTGCTTGGGAGATGTCAGTAAACACAACATGGAAAAATCCCAGCCCTTGAGGACATATATTCTAGTGGTGGGAAACAGACATAGAAGGACACTGTATGGTACATTTTACAGTGTGAAATCCTGTAAAAATAATAGAGCAGGAAGGGGGATTGTGGGCCTGGGAGTCAAGGTAGACCTCACTGGGGGGTGATATTAGAGCAGACTCCTGAAGGAGATAGAGAAGTAGCCTTGGAGCTATCTAGGGGAAAGAGAGTTCTTGCAATAGGGAAGAGCCAATGCAAAAGACCCTTAGGTGCAAGGGTGCCTGGCATGTTTGAGGAACAGCAGAGCCTAGGTAGCTGGAACGTACCAGAACAGTGGATGAGGTCAGGCAGTGGGGCCAGATCAGGCAGGGCCTCGAGGCCCGTTGTAAAGATGCTGCAGGCTTTTACTCAGAGGGAAATGGAAGGGCTGCAATAGGATTTTGAGCAGAAGAGTATCATGATATGATTTATGTTTTCAGAATAGGCTGTAGGAGGCCAAGAGTGGAAATAGGAAAATGAGTCTGTTGGAGTGAAGACCAGACAAGAGATGCACTGCCTCCAGAGTGGCAGCAGTGGAAGTGATGAGAAGTGATTGGATTGTGACTGTGTTGTGAAGACAGAACCAAACAGACTTCCCAGCTGACTGACTACCCTATTCAAATGTGTATTTGTAGTATAAGGCAAAGGGTTCAACTATCACCAGGTTTTTGCATCCAGCTCATGAAAAGAGAGAACTGCCACCAGCCAAGAGGGGGGAAACTGGGCTGAGGTTTGGGGTCAGAGCGTGTAGGGTGTGGAGGGGACTCAGGAGTTCCGTGTCGGACTCACTACATCTGAGATACCTGTTAGGCATCCAGTGGAGCGTGGAGGGAACAGAGATTCACGTCTGACGTTCTAGGGTGAGGTCTGGACTGGGAATGTGCATTTAGGAATTAAAAGCATGTGGATGGTATTTAAAGCCATGAGAGAGGATAAGATCGCTCAGGGTATGAATAAAAAGACCAAGAAAAGAGAAGGGAAAGTGAAGCTATACGAATAGCAGATATCTAACTGCAAAGACGAGAACTCAAGAGTAAAATACCACCAACCTCAGAGTAAAATAAATGACTGCGATCTTGCATTTCTTCCGCTGAACATTCAAGCCCAGGCTTTGCTCACAGGTCCCGCCTCACCTCTGGATAGTAACTCCTCTTTCTCCTCCTTTCTCAGAGACTCAGTGGGTTGAAATGTGAGACCACATGCTAAGGGAGGAGGGAGTAGGGGAGACGGGGCAGGGGATCAACTTAAAGAGATCGAATTCCCCTCTTTATCATGCCAGTCACATCTCTCCCAACCTGGCCTGAAAACTTGCCTACATTCCCTGCATACAGCACACCTCGTGCCTCCTGAACATCAGCTTCACGCTGAGGAATATTCTGCAAAGTATAGAAAATGCGTGATTTCAATGACATGT